AAGTCTGAATGAGAAAAGTGCAATTACACACTTTAACTACACATTTATACAGAGAAATATAACTTGGTGGTTCTTGGCAAACAATAGCAAGGATGCTAGTATTACTGTGCATCACCACTGACTATGCGATACGCATAAGAAAAACTCCAAGTATCTTAATAACTTGAGCTATGAACAGGTTGTTTTAATTGTTTTCACTGTAAAAGATACTTATTGGTTAATAGTGGAGGTCATATTGGTGTTTGTTCCTCAGACAATTACACAAAGAGATATGTTATTAATTTTCTTTTTAATGTCTGTCTATAATTAGTCTGTCATTTCTCTGTATCATCCTCTCATTTCATTCACAGGATTCTCTGTATGTCACCACAGAATGACAATTTTAATATGAGTGCAACGTCCAATCAGAATGTCAACATCCACAAAGAATTTCAAATATCAACCACCAGACCAAAGCACAGTTTTCATTTTCACCTTGGTGTCACCATTCACAGAATATCTTCCTGTCCTTACTTTTGAAAAGCTCAGCATTTATATCTTTTAGCAAAAATTCTCTGCATTCGAAAACCCTACAGTAGTATACTGCCCCTCTACTGCATGCTAGAGAAAAGAAGTTTGGCATTGATATAAAAAACAGAAACAAGCCTCCACCCTAGAAGTTTGTTTGTTTTGATTTTTTTTTAAGTTAAGTTGAAGGCAGTAAAAAAAAAACAACAAAAAACAAAAACAAACAAGAACCTGCAATCCTGCAAAAAAAGAAGAAAAAAGCCCCAAAACAATAACACAAGGATCCAACACGGCTTAATAGGTTACACTGTCAAAGCCTAAGAGAGTCTGTATGTGAGTGTGTCCGATGGGGGCACTGGCCCCAGACAAAGTGCTCTGCCAGCTTTCTGCCCACTGCTCTTTTCATTGCTGATGGATGGGCCTTGTTCAGCACCATCTGGCTAAGGGATACCTCACATTAATCATTGTAAACACACACACACACACACACACACACACACACACACACACACACACACA